GATGAAAATGTGCACCCAAAGTCGTCACCAGTATATCTTGCTGTATTTTTCTCCCTGACTTTGCTGGGGCCTGGGCTGGGGTTTATATCTGGCGGTTCGCTGTTGAATATTTACATTGACGTCACACAGGTAAATATGCTTACTTAACTCTGTAAAGCTTAACGTTAGCCGTAAAATAAAATGAACCGTAAAAGACTTTTAGCTAAGAAAGTGAAAGTCTCCAGATCTCTTGTCAAGACTTTTTTGTGTCTTGTCTTGTGGCATGTAAGCTGTATTAGTCTACAATTCTTAAAACAACATTTTTTTCCACCCGGAAAGGGTCCTAAGGCCTTAAATATGTTCTACAGTATTTTTTAAACATTTTTAAACAGTTAAAGTTAATTTGTAACTTTTTTGAACAATTAATGTAATTGATTTCTAAGACTGCTGTTAACCACAAGGGAAATACATTAACCGTTAGCCGTAAAAGCTACCTCCCCATTGAGATCCTCCTAATAGGATCTGTTTCCAAAACGAGAATCCGTTGTGATTTTACACCGCCAATTATTTTCATCTGCTAAGACCAAGGCTCGATTACCAGCTACTGTTAGGGAAAGGAGCCCGCGCTCCTCCCACGAAGAGAAACGCCAGGGGGTACTCCAAGAAAAATTGGGTGGTGGTGTGCGGCCCGCTTCCCAAAACCCTTACCCTATTTATGACCAAAATCTGCGATTTTTTTCCACCCTACTTATGACCTGACAAAAAATAAAATTGAATTCCCTATTTACGACCGTTACGGTTGGCACAGTTACCCTAAAATAGTTTATGGAGGGCTTTTGTTGATGGCCTTATCGATAATGATGAAAAAGCAGCTTTTGCTATAAAGCATACTCAGTTCAAAACTAAAGTGCAAAACCCACACCCTATTTGAGACGAAAATGGCCAAACTCGATACCCTACTTATGACCAAAACGGCTTAAAAACCATACCCTTTAGGGCCGCATATACCTATGTACCCCATACAAGGGAGTACCCCCACCCAGGGGAGAAACGTTGACCGGACTCGAGCCTAGCTAAGACCCACAACCTCGCACCCTCCTTTACCCAGCCCCATTTGATGTTGTAGTCGCATGTGTCACCTTTCAGCCCGAAGGAGTTAATCTTAGTCCCGAGGATCCTCGATGGATAGGAGCGTGGTGGCTGGGGTACCTGGCCGGGGGCTCTATTCTTCTCATCATCTCAGGCCTTGTTCTTGGATTTCCCAGAGAGTTGCCAGGGGCCAAAAGCATCCGCGAACAAGCACTCAAAGAAGGACACATTCCACAGAAGGACGAAAGGATTCAAGGAAAGCTGAAGGATATTTTGCCAGCGACACTCCAGTTGATAAAAACGCCTGTCTTCATTTTCAACACCTTGGCAGTCACATCCGGATCATTGTTTGGAGCCGGTATAGCAGCCTTCATTGCAAAAATTCTTCAGCTCAAGTATGGACTAAGCTCTTTCCTTGCAGGAGTTGTCATTGGAGTGGTGCTTGTTCCAGGAACTGTAGGTAAGGTTATCATCTTCTATAGACTATGTTTTACTGAGGTCTCTGAGGCATAAAATAATTCTAAATTAAGTTCGTCAAGATTAATTAGAGATGGCGCACTAAGGTTCTACTTGACATTCAAAATTATATGGAGAGTTCACTTTTGGGTGTTTTTGTTGCCACCTTGATAGTGAAGACGGGCGATAACTTCGTCCGTCGTGAGCATCTCCCATACAGGCAGACCAGCACTAAAGCAGTACACTCAGACTAGTACAAGGTCTTTGCCTTTTTCACGGTTCATGCCGTGAATGTATACCACCAAAAAAGTAGTCTGTCCACGGACGTTTATTTTTTGCTACGAGTATTTTTTCGAGCGCGCGCGCGATACGAGGGCGTGAGACTGAGAGCGAGTGGGAACGCGAGTAGGGAGAGCGGCTGCGTAGCGGACGCAGAAAAGATTTGCCTTTCCTCAAAAAAATATTTGTCTTTTCCGTTCGGCCTTTTTCAAATCCCTGCGATCATACTTTCTTGAGATCTCGACGAACTTAAGACAAAATGGAGGGTCAGTGGACAGACTACTAAAAACTTACTAATCTCGTACCCAGATCTCACTCTGTTTGACGCTGGCCGTGGGAGATCTGGGTTCAAGATTAGATTCTTACATGAGCGTTCGTCTTCAATGAGTGTTCTCATGAGCGTTCAAGTGAGCGACTTGAACAAAGTTTATCAAACGGTGAATAAAACTCCCCCAGGTTAAGATACTAATTCCATGTGGGCTACTCCCTCCCAACCTCCCCTTCCCCCAGAATTTTGTCAGGTTATTCTCACTATTCGGTGATAGCTACTTATACTCGTGGGTGGCAAATTGCAGCTGTGAGAGTCAGTCTGCGTAACAAGCGTTCTGTATGAGAGGGTCAGTAAGCAAAGTCTGGTTGCGTGAAAATAACAGAGCAAACAAAGTTTAATTGTTTGTCCTACCCCAATTTAGTGGGGCCAGAATGCAGAAAAAGCTCTTCGTTTGTACAGCAACGCTTGCTACGCAGTAGGAGGCACGGTGGTCTCATTGTTAATGCGCTCGTCTCCGGATCAAGCTGTCCAGGTTCGAGCCCTGTCCGGGGACATTGCGTTGTGTTCTTGGACAAGACACTTTTAAACTCTCACAGTGCCTCTCTCCACCCAGGAACATCCAGGGTACCGGCGAACTTAATGGTGGGGTTACTCTGCGATGGACCAGCATCCCATCCAGGGGGAGTAGGAATGCTGTTAGTCGATTCATGCTACAGAAACCGGAATAGCTCAGGCCTGATGGGGCCCCTTGGCTCGTATGCAGACTTACCTACCAATTTTGCCAGAATGCAGAAAAAGCTCGCTCTTCGTTTGTACAGCAACGCTTGCTACGCGTGCACGCTATGTTAGGGTTAATAGTTAGGGCTAGTGTCTTATCAATGTACACAGTACGGCAAGGATCCCCGACAGAGCTCGAGCCCAGCCTCTTAAACTGAAGTACAATGCACTAAAGATTGACTACGTATACCGAACTCCTCTACGATTGGTTTCTTGTGCTGATCACGAAGGTGAAAAAGTGGTGAATTGAAGCTATTCTTTAAACTGTGTCACCGCCGTGACAATCACTCTTTTCGTCCCTGCAGGTGGTGTGGTTCTGGGCGGATATCTTGTGCGGCGATTTGACTTGAAGAGATCTTTGAGAATGGCGGCCAGATTCTGCGTCATCGCTTCAGTTTTTACCGTTGCAGGATCTAGTGCATGGTTCATTCCCGGATGTGGTGTCCCGGATCTAGCAGGAGTATTAGCTCCTTACAGTGGCAGGTGAGAGAAAGATGCCGTAAAGGACCACTACTGTCCGCCCACTTAATTAAAATAAACCTTGTGCTCAGGCTTCAGACACAGTTTGCAATGTTTATCGAGACTCGTTTGGTTACGCTTGTGCATTCTTCGCTTGTGGAGTCCTTTTCTTCCGGGGAAGACTCCCATTTGAAAAGATCAGGGATGCTCGTTGTCTCGCTTAGGGGTGTAAATCAAGGATTTTTGTCTCGCTTGGGGTGTTCAGGACGAAACGCTATTGTTTTAGCTGTCAAAGTATCTTTTAGGGTGTACTCGAAGAGATAACAGATAAAAAGAATGCTCTCATTTCGTGTTAGGATCGATTTCCGCCGCTCACACGAGCCCAGTCTACTAGCCCGAGGGCTCCTTTTCCAATCAGCGGCTGATAATCGAGCCTATTCCGTTTTAAGTGGTATCTTTTAGGGGTCAAATAAAGCTGGAGCCACACCCAGATTGGTCTCCTTTAGGGGTTTAATACAAATTGTCCGACGAGCATCCCCGACCTTTTCCTATGGAAGTCCCGCCGCCCCCCACCCCCGGTCCTTTTCTCGCTCAAAGATAAAACATGTATGGAAATCATTACATTAGTTTACCCACTCAAGTGTTTCGTTTTCAGTTCTCTTCAAGACACTGAAGTGAATGTGCCATGTAATCTGAACTGTAGCTGCTCGCTGGCCAGCATTAGCCCCGTATGTGGAGAAGATAACTTGGCTTATTTTTCTCCCTGCCATGCTGGATGCAAGAATGTGCTGAATGAAGAGGTATTGAAGGACGGTGGTGCCAATCTCTAACTACTATGAATTATCTTTTATTCACAACTGATATATTTGTCCTGCTATGAATTCATGCCTTCCAGCTTTTCTCGCTTTTATAGGGTGTACTAGCATTTTAGCATGTTAACAAATCGAAATTGACTTCCCTGAGGCTTGGTTTGATTCAGTTGGATCGTTGTATCTTTTATTCTGCTTTCGTAGCAGGCAAAGAAAAATGTATTATGTGGGGCGACGTTTGTAACGTTTGGAAATCAATGAGATTCTGGAAAGGAGTAATTAAGTGCGTTAAAGCAGACCAAATTCAAGAAGACAAAAGTCTCATAGAAGATTTTAAGATTAGAAGGCGAGGCGTCCCATCTACGTGAAGTTCATGGGAAAAACTGAACAACATAACAATATCCTTGTTTCTGCCTTTTTCCTCCACCCTGCGGCCTTAACTTCACAAGGTCTTTCTCTGCGTAGGGTTTGGGTTGAAATAGTCGGTTTAACAACAAAACAGCTTTGAATTAAAGTTTCCATTCTTTACCAGAAATTCACAAACTGTAGCTGCATCTACCCAAAAGGCAATTCAAGCGAAGGCTCAGCTGTGAAAGGCTTCTGCGAGACGCTGTCTGGGTGCAAGACATACATCGCTTTTACACTTCTTATCGTGATGGTGCTGTTCTCTGTTTTTATCACTGCGATAGCAAACAAAACGGTAGTGCTCAGGTAAGTCATATGGTTTTAAATTTATTGAGATCCATATTCAAATTGGTATACTCTCTTTGCTTCAACCGTTTTATTGATTAAAATGGTGCATTTGAAAGAAGGGCAATTTAGCAAGTTGGACGCCAAAAGCGGAGATCTGAATTCCAGTCCTGACCGGGTGCATTGTGCTCTCTTAATTCACCTCCAGTTATATATAGATCGTTTGCAATTGATGTCAACACCGCCATTTTGGATGACCATCAACAAAATGATTGTAATTTGCTTTATTGCTCCTGTCATCCAACATGGCCGCCAAGATCTTTGTCATTTGAGTCTCTCGATCGGGAATAATTACAAACCACCTTAAGCCTCCTATTGGATGGTTTTATATGTAATTTATGGCCTCACAGTATGTTCAGAGAACTCAATTTATTTCAGTTGATAACGGTAGACTAACTTAATTAGTTTGCGTTAGTTGCTTTATCTTTAAAGAATTTCAACGCGAGGTAAATTTGTGCGCACCACAGGTACAACATCATTTTCCAAAAAAAACCCAACGTTTTATTAAAAGCGCAAAAATCCCTTCCAGTAATAATAAGCACACCCTTCAGTTACACTTGACCCGTCTCCATTCAAACAACAAGCTAAGCAAAACATTCTTTTGAATAAATATGAGCCCAGTATGGGAATTTCACGGTTAAGCTTTCAGACCAGACATTTTGTCAATCATCCCATCATGACTAAATCATTTATTGATTTGATTTTAGATGTGTCCCGTTTAACCAGAGGGCATACGCACTCGGTTTTCAGTTCATAATCCAACGCTGCCTTGGTTTCTTGCCGGGCCCAATCCTTTTTGGTCGCATTTTCGATGCGGCGTGCCGTCTATGGGGAGAGAGATGTGGCAAGAAAGGCAACTGTCAGTTTTACGACATGAAAAAACTTACTGATAGCCTTGGATATACGGGCTTCTGCTTTACAGGTTAGTTTAATTTCTTTTAGTTGTTTGACCCCCATCCTCTCCCTCCTCTCGCACCCTCCACCCATAGTCTCTTGCACGTGGTATGCATTAATCAAGAGAGAATAAAGGGTAAGAGAGTTGTTCCTCATATCATAGTTAATAGAGGGGAATAGTTACGAAGCCCGGCAAACATCAAAGGAGCAAACAAAAATGCCAAGATTTATGTTGGAAGGTCCATGACCGTGCACAATTTTTAGTTTTGTTTTGCGTTCATACACTATGCATGAGTTACCTAACCAAAGCGTTTCTATTGGTTAGTTCCTAGCCTGCGAACGCAGACGTATTTCCGGCTGTAAGTGACAGCTGGAAATACGTCTGCGTTCGCAGGCTAGTTAGTTCCTCGGTCAGGAGTAAACAACTATTGTGTTTTTGTGCACGGTCAAGGCCAAAAAAAGAGATCAAAAACATACAACAGAGAATTTTGTCGAGTTTCATAACCATTCCCCTCTATTAACTATGCTCATATAGACCTCATTTCCAAGGTAATCCCTCTAAAGTTATTTTTAGATCACTCCCGGTTACGGAAATCCAGGAAGGGTCTAGAAATAGCCAATTATCTGACGTGGATTTTGCTCGTGGGGGCAGCTCAAATGGTGTTACACATATTCTCCTGAAAGAAACATCTACGCAACGAGCGTGGTAATTAACATTATCATCATCATTCTTTATTTAAAACACGAAATCGTAATATAAAAATTAAATGCACTTCCTAGGAGTCCTGTAACAGGAATACATTAATTACGTTAACTAACGAACTATTTAATAAGCGTAGAGTGAAAAGCCATATGATAAAACTTTCTTTAACTTATAGTGTACTAAAAAGGAATGTATGTAAAGAATGTAAATAAGACGGTATGTCAGCTCGGACATGGCACGCACGGAGGCGAGACCTCTCATGTTTCTTTTTCTCTCTTTTCTAGGGGTATCTTTTATTTTCTATTTCTTGTGTTTCTGGTTTTGTAAGGCAACCATCCAAGAAGAAGAAATACAAAGCAAAAAACGTTCCACAAATGTGGAACTTGATGACGACAACGATAATTTAATGTTTGAGTCGACTATGTAGCCTGTAAAACAAACAATTTTTTAAGAGAAGTTGAAAGCGTACGTACATTTCACGTCACATTGACGTCACATTCACGTAGCTAGCATTACAACAGGAGTGTGTTACTGGGCATACAGCTGGTAGCTTGGTGTCATCAAGGCACATTTACCGTTTTTGTTGTTGGATTATTACAATAGTAATGTATATTGCATATTGTTTTTGAGGTCCGTAGTAGGTAGGTAGTAGTTTCAATCAGCAAAAGTGAGCTGAACATTAGAGGAGCTCAGTCACCGTACGGTATATTTTGGCAACGTACAAAATTATACCTTTACACCTTAATTAGTTTATTAAGATAGCAAAACACCAAAGATATACCCATAAACCAAAAAGGATGGTTAAGGATGGAGAAAGTCAAAACGGATTGCAAACCACAAACTTATTAAATTTAAGTTAAATTCCTCAAGATGCACAAACCGTGAAAAGACCCCCTTTAAGGCCGGTTTCTATTAGCGTATAAGCATGCATAAGCATAAGCACCCTGCACTCAGACGCAGAAATGTTTCTTAAGGCGCTAATTATCATCATATTGTGTGTGTATGTCGTCTATGTTTACGCTTATGCGCTAGAAAAAAGAAAAAAAAACAGCCTTCATGGCTGAGTTGAATTCTTAGTATAGCTTATTGACCTTTTCAAGTTGGTCGCTTTCAAAGGCCTCCTCAATTTCATTATATCCCTTCAAATCAAAATCTGCGTCAGACCAGTGGCTGGGCTCGCTCAGCCGGAGCTTATCCCAGTCTCGATAGCATGAGCTTGTTTGGGATCTGGAGTATTTCTTCGCCCCCTGGATAGGATGCTAGTCCGTCGCAGCTAGGGTTATGCAGTTACAACTGTACACCCCAGCATTAAATTCGCTGGTACCCATTTACACGCCTGGCTGGAGAGAGGCACTGTGAGAGTAATTAAAAGTGTCTTTCCCAAGAACACAACACAATGTTCCAGGCCATTTCCCGACCCGATTGATCCAGAGTTCCAGTTCTCACCATTAGGCCATCGTGATACATATAACCTGGCTATCAAGGATTTTTTTTCGCGGCGCAGGTTACTAAAGAAACAACAAAAGCTGAATTAGCAGTTAGGCCAATACTAACATAAGGTGGACAGTTCAGACCAGTTTAATTTGTAAATTGCATAGCCAAGGAATGTTTGATATTTTCACAATAGTACATTTTATCATTTCGAAGAGGCCACAGGCACGCTGAAGAGAGCACTCGCAATGCTGTAAAAAAGAAGCAATTAACTGCTGTTTACCTGCTGTCATCCTAAAAGACGTCAAGAAGTTAGACATGGTCGTACATGAACACCACTCTGAAACAGTCATTGCCTGGTTTCTGCTACTGTGACGAACAAGATAGATAGATAAATAGATAGATACCTTATTTATTCCGCTCGAGCTAAGAACAAGCTTAGGGCCCGTTAACACCGTATATCGAAGAAATTTGGAAACGGAGGTTCCCCTCTGAAAACGCATTAAATGTTTTTCGCCCACACCACGCCTGAGAAATTTGAAAACGCAACAATCACCGGTCAATTTTGATTTGTGTTTCAGTTTAACTCGGGAAGAGAGGTCGCATGATTATCGTCACGGTAACGTAATCGTTTTCGAAATGTTTTCCGTTCACACTGACTTATAAAATATAAAGCCGGGGTTTCCCAGTTCCTCCGGTTTGAAGAGTGTTTTCGAAAAGCTCCGTTCTCGTGACGGATTCCCTAGTTAGTGTGGACGGTAGGCCTAACCGAAGAAATAAAGCTGCGTTTAGTCATGTTTGAGTTTGTCAAAATCTTTAAGTTTCTCTTACAAATTCGACGCAACCTTACGCAGTTTTTGAACTGGCATATGCAAATGTCATGCCTGGGTTTCCCACGAAAAAAGGTGGGTTAATAAAGTATTTATTTAACAAATAAAAAAACCTAGGCCGTGTTTTACACTGTGATAAAAAACGACGGACATTTGAGAACACGAGGGAAATGTAGAAAACACGAGCCGCCGGCGAGTGTTTTCTACATTTCTCGAGTGTTCTCAAATGCCCGGAGTGTTTTATCACAGTGTAATACATACACGGCTTCGGCTTCTTCTTTTGCTTTATGATATAGAGGTAATGTGGCGAAAAACAATAAAACACGCTTTATCCATGTTTTATACTCTGATAAAACATAGGTTTTTGACCAATCAGGGCGCGCGCAGGGCCCTATCTACATGTATATAGTATATAATTAATGCAATTTCGCAGTATATTAATTTATTAATATTAATAATTTCATAATTTATTAATATTAATAAGTTCATTTAGTGTAATTGCGCGCGCCAAACATCGACATTTATAATCCATCAAATATTTTCGCTTGCGCGTGATTGGTCTAAACCCGTCACGTGACTGAATATTCCCCAGCTATAACCGGGAAATATCCAATCCGTCCTAGGTTATGTTCTGGTGAATATTCTACGATAACCTAACCTGTGTTACCAACCATGCATTTATCAAGTTGCTCAGTCGGCGTTACCCGAAGTGGTGTGATAACTGTGGCTTCTTAACTCCTCTTTATCCCTCACATACTGGCCGGTAACGGGAATCCTACGATCCATTTGAGCCAAATTTTTATACCCGCGTTGGGTTGGCGTTTCTAAAACAGCATTCTTCGGCGTGGGACTTTGACCGCTTGCCAGGCGCGTGGCAGCGTTGATGTATCTTCCGCGTGCGAGTCTCGAGGAATCAACTAGCGCCTCAGCCACGCCAACTATACGCCCCTTCCGTGAGGAAGTAAACTGCGAGCTCGTTCCAAGCCCAGCCGCATGATTATTTTTGTTGTTGTATACTAGCGTTTGGGTTGCCTTATTCATGCAATTGACACTGATTTAACCTGTTTATAAATAAATCCTTCGAGTCATGAAAGTGCTTATTAACTAGGCGGGTGTTTCCATAGCTTTTCAAACAAACAAACAAAAAAAAGAAAAAAAAAACAGAAAATGAAAATAGTTATCACGACTGAATCCGTAGTCCAATCACGTCTCCTTCGCTGCCGCTTGGCTGGAAATCACACAAAGCTCTGCGTCCCCACGCAGCTGCCTCTAATCGACAGACATGCCATAGTAAGTCTAATATTTGGCCTTACAACTGAAGCTTGTACATTTCTTTGCTTTTCGATTTTACATGTGATACTCAAAAACTAATGATTTAACAGCAGTGTTTTGGTGTCATCATGACGCCATTGTCAAGTTAAGTAATCAAAATTCCACGGTGTGAGACCTTTTCTTGATAGCGTCAAGTTTTAGTAAATGTGGCTTGATGTTCAATGCCAATCATGGTTTGAAAAGCTGTTCTATTGTAACTTGCATTAGGAAGTGGTGTTTATCATGTTTTGTGATGTTTATTCCACTACCTGTCCATCTTAAAATTATATTTGACTTCTTTCAATTCATGCTGGTAATTGAGAAGTGAAATGCCACTTTGTGGGATACAACATCATAATTAGCATGTGCCCAGCATGGAAGTGCTTGCTTATGACGCCAAACAGCACGTTATTTATACACAGGTTTTAGTTCCAAAGTAAAATACATTTTAAAGTACAGGGACAGCGGGAAGCAGAAGGGATACACTCTAGCCAACAGACTCCAAACACCACCAGCCTAAAAAAGGCTCAACAAAGAGTATTTCAAACTTTTTCTCAACAATAATGGTGAATTTTATCCCCTTGCACACCTATTTAAGTTACTGCTCAGTAGTAATTATTTTTTGCTTTTCTATCATATTAACTTAATCTTAACAGTTGAGTCCTTCGGCTGTGTTAAACTTGACATTACAACTCGGTGCCACTGTTTGAGTTCACTCATTTTAGTTTCAAAAATTCTAGAAGTTCCTCGCTTTCGACTGCTTCCTCAAATTCTGCATATCCCTAAAAAGTGAAAAAAAAAAAAAGACAAAGGACAAATTTATGTAGCATGTTTGGATTCTCATACAATCAGTTAAGTGCAAAGTTCAATCTTAAGCTTCCAATTTACATTACATGTAGGAGTCGCAATTTCAATAACAGTTTGAAAGAACTAATTGTACAGGTATTGCTATGAAAAGAGACCAACTTGTCCAAATGAAAGATGACAGAGTTGGATGTGTACACCAATCGGATACAATTGGCACTGCCTGAGATAAGCTACAACTATGGCTAGTAAGACCAATGGGGACAGAAAATCTACAAAAATGAAGGGGGCAGCCCTAATTGCTTCAACTGGCAATATTTCAATTTAAATGTACATTTTAGTATTTGGGCTCACGCACGCATAAGGTCACACGTAAACGCAGCAGTCCATTAGGCCAGCACCAACACTAAATGTATGTGAAATAGCCTCAAATAAAAGCCTTTTCAACAGATGTCTGGAATCAATAAGTAAAACTGTTTGTACGTGGCAATAATTGTGCACAGAATATTAATTAATATGGACTGGCTTTCAGGCTAATGACTGTGAATCAGTACTACGAAAACAAGATATCTGAAGCAAAAAATGTTATTAAGTTGTAGGTCAATGTGAAACTCACCCCAAGATGAGTGTTGCCTTTTATCAACTGAGGTGGCAAACCTTTGGGATCACCCATTACTTCTCTCATTTTTTGCTTTGCCTCGTCGTTACCAGCAATGTCTACTTTGTCGTAATCAACTCTCTTGCTGTCCAGGATCATCTCTATCTTCTGCTGCTGCTTTTTTAACTGAAAAGAAGACCAATAATATATTGTTAATAATCATTAACTGCTGTTGTTGATTATTAGGGGTGGCAAATAGTCTTCTGAAACCATGGTTCCTGCAATTTCATGGGTCTCACAGTCTCATTTTTTATTTTATACATGTGCATCTCATAGTCTTGATTTTCTCATAAAGCTGCTTGGTGTCTCAATATTTTGCAAGTCTCAAAGTCCTTTTTTGTTTTTACAAATGGCATTAAATGTCTTAGAGTCAGAATGTCTCACGCTCACATTTGAAACACTGTCTTTACAGTCTCCTGTCTCGTGAATTTAAAGAGTCAAAATGTCTCAGGATCGCAAAGAAAAATGCCAATCTTGCCCTGTCAAAACGTATTACATTAATACCATTTACCATCACTGTTATTGATAGTAAGTAAATCATTTAAATCCAAAATTAAAGTACCCGTGTTTTGTTTAGGTAATCTTGATCATCCAAATAGGTTCGGATAAAATATACTAAGTACTCATTTAGTCTTTCTAGCTCTTCCCCTTGTTTACTTTAGTTAATAATTAAAATTTATTTTCTGTACATTAAATTCTTGATATTCACCGTGAAAAGGCCTTTTTAGGGATGCTAAAAGAATGTATAATTTACATGTATATATGTTTGCAGGGTTCTACATAAGTTTTCATGTTTGGGTGTCGACAAGGAATTTGAATGGGTCAATTGAATCCCACTCCTCTCATCAAATCATTATAAATTTTCTATTCATTTGTCAGGCTATGTAGCTGACCTTGTTAGGTTTTTGACCTGAGGCCTCCCACTTATCTGGAACACTGTGTTTGTATGAGGTAGTCTACTAAAATTTGACTGAATGCCACAGAATACAAAATTTAAAACACACAAAAAAGTGGAAGAAAGAGAGTAGGGTTTGTACGTACTAGCAAATTTTTGATTTTCCCAAATTTAGCTTTTTTACCAAGGCAAAAAACTGGTCAGAGAGATTTCCCTGAAATTAGCTCTGACTAAAGTAAAGTATTTACTAGTTGTACCTATCGGTAAGTGCCAACGAGTGAATTGAGTTAGTAAACAGGAGTCGATTGAATTTTGTAATATTTATTTGGGATACTTCTAGTATAACAGGTGTTCAAATCAATTTCTTTTTGTTAATGTTTCAAATTAGTGCTGTAATTGAACACAACATTGTTTATTTTTCAACTCAGTGAGTAAACAAAATGCTAAACACTTAATTTTTTTTGTATTTTCAAAAATCCTGCGTGCGGGACCTTGTTGGGCGATTATTTTGCCCACCATGTTGCTTTTTGAGGCCTAAACATCTTGGATTTGTTGTGATTGAATCGTACAATTGTTAAAGCTCAACAAGACCTGAGTTGCTTTCAGGAATGAATTCGAGTGTTGTTCATTTGATTCAGGGTAACGCTCAGGATTTGTTCGCCATACGTTCGACGAATTATTTTGGTAAGTAGTTCGTCTGACATTCTGCTTTTTGAAGGTGAATGTAACTTGGATATGTTGCGATTGAATCGCATAATTGGAAAACCTCATTCAGGTGTTTATTCGAGCGAAAGCGCTCTTTGAGAGTAAATTTCAGTCAACGTGTTGACAGCTCAAATTGAACCAACGAGTTCACTTTTGATGACCTCTGAGTAAAGTTCTTGAAATTAACAGAAACTTCAAACCAAACATATACCATTAATCACTTAAGAGGCACCCTCTGTAAATTTCAACTATGGCCATTTGGACCAGAAAAAATCAAATTCCTCAAACTTTCTCAGATGAATGGTCTAGTTAAGTGACTCACAAAAATATAACTTTCAGTTCAATTCAATTCGTATTTTAGCGCTGGGGCCACCATCTTGGTTTTGCCCCTCTGAGAGGGCTTTCAGCGGCCATTTTAGGGCACATTTTTNTTTGACAGCCAAACTCACCTCTAGGTTGCTAGAGACGGAAGAATAATAATATACTATCCTCTCACCCATCGTGAAAAGCTTCAGTGGAATCTTTCTTCACCAAGTGCAATAATTTTTGACGAGGGACGTGTGTTTTCAACTTGCGAATGCAAAAATGGCAGTTCTTGTCTAGATGCCAATCAACTTTTTACGTCACGCAATGAATAATTCCGCCTGAGCAGGTAACAAATCCACCGGCAATTTGTAATCCTTTGCCTACCAGCGATGATTGCTCGGCTAATCTCTTATCGACAGATCTTTTTATATGGGCCAATTTCTTCTCGCCTCAATGTTGATCGACGCCAAGACAGTCACACGAGAATGAAACCCGATATTCAGCGCCCAGTTTTCCTCGTCCGAGCAGTGGTAAGCAATGCCTGTTGACAGCTGCAGGGGGAGTTGTCGTTGATTGAAGACGGGGTCACTTTACTGTCTCGCTTTTCATCCTTTTCACCGGTTTCTTGGTCCTTGAATCATGACTGGGAAAGTCACTTTATTCTTCTCCGATATTTCAGGGAGTAAAGAGGTGAGCATGTTCTAGTTTTAAGCAACAGTGCAATGTTTAAGACTGTTAAGTTTTAATTCTGTACTTCGATTTCATTACTAGGCACTTTTTGGGATCAAAGTAAGCCCAAACAAAGAGCCTCAACTTGAGTTTAAATTCATTTTTGAGGACTATACAGCAGTGTATTGTAACTAGCGTATTACAGCAGCTTCTTTGCAGGTTTCTTCGATAGAAGTTTTGATTTTATTGATACTCTTCCAACTTGGACTAGAAAAAAAAAACCGAGTTGTCGAATTATAGATTTTTTAAATCCAGTATGTAATTTACTCACATTCCTCAGCTCTTAGTGTGCATGTGTATTGTGAGCTAAAGCTAAATTAACAACAGAATGTAAATCGTCTTAAGTCTTCACCGTAAATAACAAGCATTCTTTTATGTCATTATGCCTCTTTTCGGTTCATTTAATTTCATGACACTAATTTCACTATCAAAACCATGCCAGTCAACCATTCGTCCGTGCCAAGTAATCAAGTGAGCTTCAAAAAATATTTCACAATTTCTTCGGTTCAGACTGCACTGAAAGGGACAATTCAATATTTAAATCAAGATTTATTCAGAAGCCTATACCAAGTGAGCAGAGTCTTCTCCGATGTTAATTCCTAGAAAAATCAGGAAGATAAAATGAGACTCTCAGATTCAAATGGTTGAATGTTAATTAGATTCATGTCTAACTCCAAACAAGTCAGGCACACCTGCTTTGACAGGCTGCCAGCTGAAATGCATTTATTTACATATTTTGGCTGGAAATAATTCTTCAAGATCATCAAGTATTGTCAAAAAAATAATTCTCATCCTTCTTTTAGTCAGTACCCTCCTATTTCTAGGCAACAATCTCATAATATTGAAACAGAGACAAGGCATTTTGGTACATATGCATTCTAAGAATCAATCCTAGCAGGAAGCTTTCTCAAATTGTGTAGTTCCAGAAAATATCCATATGCGGCCAACCAAAGGAAGGCTGATGGAACTGAATTCCAAGGGGGGATGAAAGTATCGAAGCTAAACCAGAATTTCCAGGGGGGCTGGGGGTTCAAACTAAAAAACCTTTTGTAGAAAGGGTATGGATATTTTCTGGAACAACATATTACGAAAATAATGGTTTAAGGATCCCATCAAATGACTCGTTTTCCATCGCCTGACTGACCCAGTTTTTTTAAAAAGTGAAAAACGTGTTTGTGATGAACTGCTTGCTTCCAGTTTTTGCATGATCATCATAAGTTTAGTGCTTTTCATGTACATCTTTAATTACTCTTATATATGTGTCAAGCCTGTAAAATAATGTCTTAAAACACCTTTTAGATTGGTATAGTGGTCCCATGCAAATTAGCAGTCATAGGGAAGATGTTATTAATCAAGGCTCACTCTGAATTTTCTGTTTATAAAATAATATCAATGAATAGTTCTCTTTTTTCTCAAACTGACCAACCAACTCCGTTTTTCATTGGTTTGTGGCAAATTGGAGAAGTTTGCAAATTTTTCTTTTTTAATTTTAAGAATGAAACCTACAAACACAATTTAAAGTTTTGGCTTTGATGGGTTGCATTTGAAATTTTGATCAACTGCATTGAACAAAGAAATCAACTTGCCATTAGTACTGTATAAACAAAAACACAACTGGTTTTGAATGTTGAGCCATAAATTAATAAAAGTATTTTTTGCCAACTTGCTGCTTTCTACCCAGATTAAAAAACGTCAGCAACGTATCCGCACTGTACTTGAGGCACAGAAGCTACCTTTTGATGTAATTGATGTGGCACAAGATGATATTGCTTTGGAAAAAATGAGGCAGCTTGCTGGAAATGAAGAAGCATTAGCTCCTCAAATTGCAAATGGTGATGAGTACTGTGGGGTATGTCAACTCAAAAATTACATTTAATTTCATAGACTTTTCAGACTGTTCTAGCTATCAGGTCAACCTACTTAGTGATATACAAAATGGTAATTAAATAACATATATTCAGTGACATCATCATAAAAATTCCCAAATAAGCATGCCCCTGTGGAGTGCAGAACATTTTTAACTTTCATTATCTCTAGATCTGTCAAAAGAGGGATATTATTCTCTAAACACCAAACAGGACAGGGTTACTGGATTGTGCTTACAGTTTGCTTTCATGTAGAACGATACATGCATAGTGCAAAATAAATTATGATAATCTCGTTGACAATAGATGCACTTGGGGAATAGTGCCTGAAAGGATGGTGAAGCCGGAGAGCAAACTGAACCAAGCTCATAGGGTATCCATGACAACCCTGTGAGTGGCAACCACCAGGCACTATCACACTGAAAACACAGTGAAAACAAAGGATACTTATCACACACTTACCATGGAGACAAGGGGTATGGGTGGGCTGGGAGAGAAGCTTAATGAGATCTGTCTTGCAGTGGAAAACATGCAGAGTAACTTGATATCCGAAGCTGAACTGTAAAAATCAAGGTGCTCTGCACAAATCCCCAGCCACCTTGTACACCACCCTGAGGGAGACTGCTGGCCAGCAATATTGTTTCACAGTTAACTTAGCTAAATTACATAAATAGCCACATTTAATTGTACAATGCCAGAAAAAAAGTGCAGAAATTTTGTCAAGTCAAACTAAATGTTATTTTATCTTGCTTGTGCTCTCTTTAGGACTTTGAAGCATTTGAAGCTGCTATTGAAGAAGAAACTTTAGAAGAATTTCTGAAGTTAAAGTAGCATTGTGACATCAGAAACTGGAAAAATATTTAAAAGGGCAGAATCAATTGCTCACCAGCCACTTACAACACAGTTCAACTGAGTAGTGACCAGTCTTTAATATCAAAACCTGCTTGTAGCCAAAAAAATGGCACTTATTTTTGTACTTCAAATTCCACGGTAAATTTGAGACCATAGGTTTAAGCCATACTACTAATAGTACTTACTAGAAAATAATGATATTATCAGTCGTGTGCCATTGAACTTCAGATTCAAGGGCAGCCACAACCATATTGAGCTACAAAATGCTGTTCATGTCTTCACTGCAACAATAATGTCTTGAATGTCAAACAGTTCAGCACAATGGAATTCTCTCTTTTGTTATGAGTGACTTTCCAGTTGAACGGAAACAACATAAAGTATTTGAAGGTTTTAGCAAAATATATACTGTATAATAGTATACATTTAATTTCCAAGGTTTTGTTCTCGCTCGTTGATTCAGCTACATGTAGGAAGAGAGTGGCTGTAGGCTTATGGTCTTATTCAAAAATAATTCTTAAATTTTTAGGAAAGCTCTTAACCACAAGTTAGACTGGAAGTCTCAAAGTCAAACATTTATATTGCAATGCCCAGTCAGAGTAATTTTGATACCTGGTAAATTTGAATTATACCAGTCCATGTAGTTTTCTATGGCCTCAGGTGTCTTGCGGGGCAATTGACAGGGATAAGTTTGTAGTTTTCTATTCTTGGCTCAGTTTGTAAGTTATTACTAACATGGCATTTCTCAACAACTATTTTAAAGAGTCAAATTATACGTGTTTCTTAAAAATTTTCAAATATGATAAATCATTGAAAGGTGTACTTAAGGTTTCTTGTTCTTGTACTTTCTTGGTCCTGTTGGTTGCCAAGTTTAGAAAACCAACTCAACCAAGATGTTGAACTTTTTAACCAGTGCTTCATTACTTATCAGTGATATTTAAAAATGAATTTAAACAGCTGGCTTGTAGCTGGTGTAAGCTATGGGTTTGAATGTGTTGTCGGGATCTTTATTTACTCTCTGAATTAGTTCTTTACTCTTTGTAAATTTCAGTTACTTGTTTTTCTAGTGTTACCAGCAGCATTTCCAAATTAGCATGATCAGAAACTATGTTTTGTACAAATATGTAACAGACGAGTGTAAAAGTAAAAGAATATTGAAACCTGCATTCTTAGTGGTCTAATTTGAACTGCAAGTAGAGTGAAACCTGTATTAAGCGGACACCCTTGGGACCCTCTCTAGTGTCCGCTTAATACAGGGTGTCCATTCAAAACAGGTTCTAATATGTTGTGGAATAATACTTAATTATTAAGCCTTTTGTAACACAGCGTAACCTGAGAGTGTAAGATCAAAGACTAGCATAGTACAATGTCCAGTCAATCAATGCATCAATCTGCAATAATCAACTTATCACTGAACAATGTTAAAGGAGTCTCAGCTGAACCTTTAGTGGTAAAAAGCCCTTGAAATGTCCACTTATTTCAGGTTTTGTGCAACAAAATGACTTAATAGTGGTGTCCACTTCCACTCAACAGGTGTCCACTGAATTCAGGTTTATTTTACAGTAAATGTAGGAAGAAAATTTTGGGACTCAAGCTAGTGTCCGCTTAATATGGGGTCTGCTTAACATGGGGTCCGCTTAATACAGGTTTCACTGTAAGTGCAATTTTAGTAACTCTCTTAGATGGCCACTCAAGGAAGGAACAGATACAGTAATAAGAATTTCACAAAAGAATGAACCCTGCTGCATCCATAGACTTAGCTTGGGCAGTTTGTGGAGGCAAGGGAAATTCACAAAATGTCGTAAGGAAATCACCATTTCAACAACTTTTCCTCAACAATTTGCTTAACTTCTGTTGAAGTCTGCAAGGATAAGCCTCTTGTAAGCAAATAAAATACTGTTAATAAATTAAAGCATGTGATAGAGTTGTTTATAAAAAGTGCCGTACTGTAATGAAAAAATTTTCCTGTCTGTCCTGTCGTTTAAAAACATTTTAACAAGAGGTTTGTACAAGAAGAAATATGCTCTTTGCTATTAATTTAAAAATTAGACTACGAGTCCGAGTTTTCTATGAGCAAAAAAATCAGGAAATGAGGGCAAGTAGTCTAATTGTTTTAGTAGACACTCTAAAGGATTACAACACAAAACCTTCAATTTTGAATGTGTATTTTAAAAACAATGTTCAGTTTCAAGGCCAGTGCATGTTCGATCGTTGTCTAGCACCAAATAGAAAACAATGAGAACCAATCAGATTTCCGCATATTCAATAGAACACAGCTAAGTGGCTACTAATTAACAATTAGATTATGAGCTCGAGATCTCTATGAAGTGATAGTTGATGAGGCCTTTGGCCTCATCAACTATCACCTCATAGAAATCGAGAGTGAATAATCTAATTGTTTTAGTAGAATTCTTACTAAAATTTTCTTCAAATAACAGTTTCCAATTATTTCTTGATGTATCATTAAACTTTGTGCCAGAAAAAGATCTCTCGGATTGACTTGTCATTTAAAATTGAATTTGTACGCACATGCGCATCAGTTTTTTCAATATTTCAACTTTTTTAAAAGTCAAGAAACCGTGAATGTCCTTTGTTTAGAGTACTCGGGAATTTAATTATCCATTTGCATCCAAATTTTCCTCCAAAACTTCAGAAAAACGAAAAAAGCGTCGTCATTTCCTAGCCAACCTCCAGCCACTGCACACTAATGGCTGATAGTGTTCAATGGCTCAAGCAATCAGATTACAGTATTTGCATTAGTATACTAGTAGAATTCTACTAATCTCAAATATCCCTTATCTTTCCAGAGATATTCAAGTTTTTTTAAATATCCAAATTAACAAGGCAAGTGGGTGACATCATAAAACCAAACAACCAAATTTTAATCAAATAATATGAAAACAATATCTCAAGTAATCTGTATGAGAAATGTTTGATGTGCTCCATGAGTTTAAATTAATAATTTTGTTACCATGGCAACATACTGGGTCCCAGACCTCCGGATGCTTAAGGCTTTTCTGACCTAAACTTAAGCACTTTGCATGATTCAGCAAGCATATAAATAGGTTAGCTTAGGTTCTTGGGCTGGTCTAATTTATCCAAGCTGAAAATCACTAAAACATTGAAATTTGGTTGGAGGGAACTGGAAAAGAGCTTATAGGTTTGTTGCCTGAGAAATTTTTGTCAACCAAGTTTCAAAGGCCATTGAAAGTTGGTTGATTGTTATTAGGATCTGATAGTAATATTCCAAACGTCGGGTCAGAGCAGCTACCAGTTCCTGATGCAACAATGAATAGCCTTCAAGCCATCAAATAATTATAACAACAACCAATGTTATTTTTATTGTATATAACAGATTGAAATTAATCTTTTTTTGGCTGTGCCCCATATCATGTGCATACATGTATAATTAAGACTGTCAGACATATATATTTTTTTAAGATCTCAAAATTTAAATTGTACACAAAGCTGGAGATACACTAGAACAATGCAGCTAACCACCTTATGTGATGCTCAGTTTTTAAATACCAAATAAATTCTTTTAAAGATACTTTACTGATTGAAATTATATTATTTATTCTTAGATAATATTAATAATTTCCGTCAGCCCTACAAAATGGCACCACCAACTGCAACAAGGTCTATAGTACAGCAAAATACCAGTTCAGAAATTAATTAAATTTATAAGTTTTTCCCTACTAGTTCAGTGACTATTGATTCAGGAGAAAGAGTTTCTTGTTCAAGAAATAATTACAAGAAATTCATGTAACAAAATTAAAGTAAATTAGTGTAGTACAATAACATGTATACATAAATTATCCAGTCAGGCATAATAATATTATTGTACGTTGTACATGTTACTGTACAGCATGTCAGTTTTCCCTGTCCCTAGACAACCACTTCTCTTTCAATAGCTTCTATTCACTAAAACAGAGTTGGTTTCAGCAACACTAAAACAGAAGAACCGAGATTATTAAAAACTGAATCATTGGAAAATGCACTTCAAGAGTTTTCATGGTACATGAGCCATGTGAGATTATTTTTTGGGGTGTTTATATTTTTATTTCATTTTCATTTTCTATAATTTGGGGACATTTTTAATGAAACAATTATTCCACTCGCACTTGTTGCATATGACATGATTATAGCCAACTTGGCACTGTGCACCTCATTGGCTATCTACCATCTCATCCAGTGCACGCTTGTGGAATAGTTGTTAATTAACTCAGGGTCAAGTCACCGAAAGTGTTGATTTCAAAAATCTTTCAATAACCTTACTTTCTGTAATTTCAATGTACTGCGAATCCTCAAATTAACGCCCAGGGCAATTATTTCAAATTTAGAAGACATGGGGTGCTTATTAGAGGGAGGCGCTCAGTCAAGGGGAACACCGAGGGGAGCAGCAGATCTTCACTACCACCCTTTGCGACAGTCAATGTGCAATGCTTGAATGAGTCAATAATCACTTGCTTGTGATTGAATGTGACCAAAACTACACATCCTTGTTCTCTCAGTACTCTTCCACAAAACAGGAGAGGGGAGGGGGGAGCTTACTTGAGGAGAGGTGGTTATCTTAAAATTTGGCCGATAGGAGGGGTGCTAATATTCAAAGGGGGGACTCAATTTTGAGGGGAGGTGCTAATTCGAGGAGTTACGGTAAATAAGAAAGTGCCATGACTTCTTAGCTGAATGCATTGACATTGTGCTGTCATGATAGCAATACTGTTCTAGAAGTCAATTTGGCCATTAATAACTAGTTATTAACCAAGAGCGAGGTCTTTATGGGAAAATCTCAAACCAAGACCATGCTGTATTGACCAAGCGATAGCAAGGTCAATATGGCTAAGCTGAGATTTTTTGATTTTCCCATAAAGACCAAACGTTCAAGGTTAATAAGTTGTTTATTATAATTAATATATGGTTTTTTGCTCTGTCTTTGCAGACTCGTAATCAGCCTGTGGGTATCACAGGAGAAAAATGCCGTACTGTTTGCCAATCAGCACATTAGATCTGTTACAAATACAAGCCATGTACAAAATTTAAAATAATGTACTCGACAGCAGGGCTAGTGCTTTATAGGAACATTTGAGTAGCTAGGAACCACTGCTCAGTGGGCAAGATCTTGTCTAAGTGTTTCTTGAATGTTAATCTGTTCCAAAATATCTTTGTCCAAAATATGATGGGCAGTCAGAGTGGACCTCTGACGTCAGAATGGTAACAGATGGATAATTCTTCAGCAAGAGCTCAACACCTATTCAAACAGATAAAGTATAGTCCACTGTAAATACAATGCACAGTGTACTGGAGTTCATTAATATTTTCTCAAACTCATTAATAATTCATCAAGTTTAAACAAAGGAAATCATGACCATGACAGTGTTTGGGTATCTGATCTTAATTAGCATAGATTTTTATGATTTCATTTCTCCATTTTCTCCAGTTTTGGTTCCGATTGGGAAGATATATCAAACACTCAAGACAGTGTTTGACCACATTTCCAAACACCTTGAAGTTCGTCAAAAATACTCCACTGCACATCATATTTTCCACTCTCTTCTCGGTGTTTGGAAATGTGGTCAAACACGGTCTTTCGTGTTTGACATATTACTTCCAGCAGGAAGGCTACTGGTTTTCACAGGTGGGCAAAACTGTTTGAACTGAACTTCAATATAAGAAAAACGTTCTTTAGATTGTCAAACCAGTCAGACAAAATCATCTTCACAGGTGGTCAATTTACCTGGTGCCTGGCCCTTAATGAAACCCCTGAGTGTTGCATGGGAGATGACAGTAATCTACATGTACATACCCAGGCTTGGATATATACAGATGATAAATGGCCACCACTTTCAAAACAAGGGGGTCCAGTGCTATACTCCCCCACAAAATTGTTTTGGATTTTAATTAACACCTAAAATTTCCGAGTCATTCTGGAAAATCTGGCCTATTTCCATACAATGCTAGAAACTGAGCCCTAAAATGTATTTAATTTTGATGTTTTAGCCCACGATACAAACAGAAGATTCTCACCTTTTGGGGTAGCAAACACATTTAGGAGTAGGATATTTTCTTCTTTTACACCATGCTCTAGAAGGACCCTTACAGCTGTTATGACAGTGGCTCCTGAATCTGCTGAAATCAAAAGGCTTCAATTTGGTATGGACACAGTAAAAACCTAATCATACCTTTTTGTACACTTCAGCAGCATATCAGGCTGACTACAGTGTCACCAAAGCATACTAAATATTAAGCATAAGTGAAGCCTAGGAGCTGACTGACTCATAGCTGCTGGAGCTTATCCCGGTTTCTGTAGCATGAAGATGCTAGGAGTATTTCTACTCCCCCTGGATGGGATGCTAAACCATGCAGGTCACTCCCCCACAATTTGTTAGGTTTCCCCAACAATTCGCTGGTACTCGTTTATACTCCTGGGTGGAGAGAGGCACTGTGAGCATTAAGTGTCTTGCCCAAGAACACAACACAGTGTCCCCAGCCAGGGCTCGAACCCGGACCGCTTGATCTGGAGACAAGTGCACTAACCATGAGGTCACTGCACCTCCTCTATATTAAATAACAAGCATGTTAAGGTATAATATGTTAAGTTAATCATGTTAAGGTAGAATGTGTTACCATGTTAAGGTAGAACATGTATTTAGAAATTTAATAATAATTACTTACACTTACTGCTAAATGTCTAAATACAAAAAATGCACTTACGACGAGAAAATTAATAGAGGTTCAAAAATGTTATAAAATTACCCCAATGGTACAACTGTANGAAGAGCGGGGGTGTAGTCTGGTGAAGGGGCACCAAGAAAGTGAGCCTGCCTTGATCAGTTGATCTCTGTAAAGTTTCACCTTGCCTGTGTGAAGTAAAATGCCATTGGCCGAAAAGCGGGAAAGGTGAGAAATCTGTCAATCTGTCATGTTTCACAAGGAGCGATTAGATCCCCATGGAGTCAGACAATTTACCTCAGGTTCTTACAATGTCGACAGTCAACAATATAAGGAGTCAGAGGAAGAGTTGAGTGTGAGTGAAAGCTCTGCTTCAGCAAGACTTGAAATAGTACACGTAAGACTGTGTAAGTTTTAATGGAATTCTACTTATTAAATTTAAATTCCATTTATACTGAAAACCTCACAAGCTAGTCTACACATATGTATAATAATATATCATGCACTCAGTCAAAAAGTAGTGACTGAAAGCTAAAAGTTTTGCTGCTTTCAGTGACTGATAAGCATATTAACCTACGGTCCAACTAAATTAAAATTAAGGTACTTACCACTTCTCATAATGCTGACACCACAATTTCCTCTCTGAAAAGCTAACCCCTCATAAGATGCTCCTGTTCCAATAGTTCATTAAATAATGTTAATTTCAGTAATTAATTTTGATACATACATGTAACTTAAAACATGATCCCAGTAAATATAAGTCTAACAGGTTTAAGATCAAGTTTAACCCAGCACATACATCTACAATCCATGTAACCTTTCCAAAGACTGTTAATGAAGTATTGAACTCCAGCTCTACAATGCACACTTCAAGTACATGTACATGTAATTCATGACCATGCAGTCAGCAGATAAGGCATCTTGCCTTAGACACAGTAACATTAATGATAGTATTAACTATGTGCAAACTTTTGATGGGCAATTCATTTCCTTACTATCAAGAAATTTCTCTCATCCTCCCGTGATCCCCTAAACCTCCTTTTCTCATTGATTTCTGATTAAAATCGTACCTGTCGGAGTCTTCACAGTGCAGTTGTCATACGGAAGCTGGTTCAAGCCCTCTTCAACAACAAGTCTAATCTATAAAATTATGTGCAAGATAGAGAAATTAACAACAAAGTTGACAACATCTCCACAAAGGCCACCCTGGAGTTGGGATGGCTGCTACCAACACCAGGTTCCCTTCAAGAGTCTTGATTGAATAGAATACCTTACAACTTGAAAACAGTGTAAAGTTCCTCACAAAGGTCAGAATTTTATATTGTTTACAAGCTGTAGGTGTTCTTTCATCCCAATTTGCTACTTTGAAAAAAACCTTGACTGACGAGACAGGTTTTGAGACAGGATTGCACAGACAGAGAAGACATGTGCATAATGATAAGCATGCATGCAGGACTCTGGATTTGGCAGTCTGTGTTCAAGCCCTTGCTAGAGTAATCAAGCTGTGGCCCTTTCTCCCCAGGTGTAGAGATGGGTACCAGTAAAATTAATGCTGAGGTTTAACCCTGCGACGGACTAGCATCCCATCCATGGGTTACTAGAAAGACTCCTAATTGCTTCATGCTACAGAAACAGAGATACTGACTGAAGCTCTGCCTGTACAGGCTCTAGCCTTCGATTTAGGACAGGAGTCTTTTTTTCACATGCATATTCATTATGATTAGACCATGGCATTCACTCACCAAACGGTCAGCATAGAAAACAAAGTCTCCTCTCTGTGTTTCTCTGGAATAAGGGGAAAAAAGGATAATTATGAAGTTTCTTCACTAATACTGTTGCATCAAAACACTGCAAGACTCAAGATTTATGAACATAATTCTACATGGAACGTCCTATTCATTCAACACCATACTTGCACATGTGTCTTGATGACTTAAAGAGTACATGTATGTACAACTGTGAGTGGTGGAATTACAGGAGAAACAATTTAGTGATTATGATGACCCAAGCTATTAGCATCTTCTTGTGGAGCAAGACTTTGCAAACAGAACACAAGGAGTTATTCCCACACCCTTTTAGAATATCAGATCATGTTTTTTGTGGGTAGTCTCGACCAATATATTGGTCAACAGTCTGTTGACAATCAGTCGATACATCAGTCGACAGTCGGTCTGTAGTCAGTAGATAATCGATCGACCCGGCTGACATAGCTTTTAGTTCACTGATACTTCACCGATACTTCACTAATACCTCGCCGACACTTCGCTGATAATTCACTGAGTATCCGTTAACTATCAGTTGAAAGAAATGGAATACATCCAATATGCCATTGGATTCAGTTGCTAAATCAACACACTTGACTGATACTCAACACATGACTGATATTCGACTGACAGTTGACTAATATACCACTGACAGTTGACCGATATACCACAAACGTATGACTGATACTCGATCAAGATGCATCTACGAAATATCAACCAACACTCAGCCAACAGTTTGTCACTGTATCGATCAACTATCATCTAGTTGTTGACCAATTGTTGACCAACTATTGACCAACTGTTGACCAATATACTGGTCGACTATGGACCGACCCTCGACCAATATCCCAACCGACATTACCTACAGTAAACATGATACAGAATATCTTTACGATTGCTTGACTCTTTTTACAAAATTGCATTCCATGTCTGCACATGTGCATGCAATAACTGTGACAAACTCCAAAAAGGCAAAAGACACTAGCTTGCTCACCCAAACAAATGATCTCTAATTAGGGCCCACTCCTCGATGAATCAGTCAATTAAAAATATTTTAGAAGCTCACAAATTCCTAGCCTACGAGCAGGCTCACCTTTAAGTCACACACACGAGCGGCAAAGAGCAAAGTGATCTGGTGGGAAGGAGTCTGGTGAAGAGGTGCAAAGAAAGTGAGCCTGCCCTGATCTCTGTAATTTTTTCATTTCTGCTTCATCTGAGAGAAGTGAAATACCATTGGTCGAAAAGAGGGAAAGGCAAGAAAACTGTCAATCTATTACGTTTGATGATGAGCGATTAAATTCCCATGCAGTCCGTAATGTACCGCACAATGAAAAATAATTCTTCCACATTTGGAGTCAGAGGAAGAGTTGAGTGCACATATTACTGATGTTTTAACAAAGTGCCAGTCTATTTCTAGTTGCATTTCAAACCAAAGAGGGAGCAGAAAATAATGAATCAATGAATCAAGTTAATGAATCAAGACGTTCTTGTCGTGTTGCCAACTGCATATGGGAAGAGTTAAATACTAGTAGTAATCAGAGATTATGAGAGTGCGTTCAACGTTCTCACTTTAATATATAATTATACATCATAAATAAATGATTTCACTAGCTGACTTTCAACCTTTGTCCATTGCTAAAATCAACATTTTTCAGCAGCAACCGAGGTTTTACAGTCAGACATGCATAGTGTCAAAGTCCATGCTAGTGAAGAGGTCACGATTTGTTGAT